ATAAATAAGTTGCCAGCTCTGATGGCAAATTCTTTCCAATTTTATGTGCACTATTTGCATTGGCAATGACATTTTTGGTATGTTTTGCTTTGTATTTATGTTTATTTTGTGAAACTGTGCAAAGTCATTAAATTTATAGTATAATTAAATTTACATTTTGACTAAAACTATACAATTTAATTTAAAAATTTCTTCTGCACAGTGAAAAGGTGATCTATAGTACATTCAGTGCATGCTAAATGATCAAACATTTTCAACATTAATGCACTTAAAGCGCATCACCAAATCTACACCATTATCTGCTGATGAACAATTCACTGTGTCTCTGTCTCAGTGTAGCAACATCAAGTGACAATAATGTTCAGATGGGTAGGCTGATACCAAGAACAAATTAACATAAATTCAGGGAATAATCCATGTCAGACGTATCACACAAAGATTTAAATAAAAACGAACTGAAGTTTTCACCTTGGTAAGATGCTAAACCTTGATTAAACGGCCAAGCAGTTTTTCACATCTCAATTCTACTAAGTCCTTTTATCAAAACTCTAGATGATGATAATCACCATAAAGAATTTATCTCACCCCCTCCAACTTTAACTCACTTGTTTCATCTTTATCCCCATCTGTTGGTGTCTCTCGTCATCTATTCCCTTCTAGCCCTGCTTGTACCACTTTCCCAACATTCCTCTCTACGCCTCGGTCTGATTTTCCACACTTCATCGGCATGAACCTTACATGAGTAAAACTGCCAAACCATCCAAACTTATTGCCCTCCTGCCCCATACTTTAATTTTATACATCTGTACATGCCACAGTTGCTCACTGTCTTCCATTTCTCAGAACTCATGAGTCTATTAAACGTGATTAAAAGTCTCTCCATCTGGTTGCCAGTTAGATGGTGACAAGCTAGGATGTGAACATCTGAAGAGTAAATCACCTAAATCACTTAGCTCCACTAAATCTATTTGTGAGACAAGCTTTGAAACATGCTGTAACAAAGCTGACAAAAGCCTGAATGTCAACTATTGTCTCTATGGGAAAAAAGAAAGATTTGAAATGACTTCAGGGAGGAAGGTCCAAATGTGGCTCATTTTTTTCTTTTTTTTTCATGATTATTTTAATGTTTTTTTTTGTAACAATATATTTAAAGACCTAGCATTTCCTGAAAGAATGCATACCAGCCACTGCCCTTCATGCCACAGTTTTAAACCAAGATATCCTATGCTGAGAAATGACTCTTTGTTATTACCACACTAAATTTTAACTCGGTAACAACAAACTTCAGAGTGGTATAACCATTTCAATGTTTGCTACATCTGAAAACCTGTTGCAGCCATCTTTATTTGGGTAGGCGTGAAAAATCAATCAGTTATAGATGTACAGTTTATAATAATTGTCTGAGATTCTCATTTAAACCCATGGTTACTGACATACATTACTGCAGAAAAACAGGCCAGAATTGCAAAGAATGTGGGCAAAACCACTGCTTAGTGTGTTGCATTTAGTTTATGCTTTGATGACAACAGCTACTATCACATCAAATTTTAGTTTAATATCTGCAATTTTTAATTTTGCATTCTCTAAGTTCAACAGGATGTGGCAGCCCTGTTAATTTTGGTTGTGTCCAAAAGTAAAGACAATGATCATTTGAATACTTCTTTGATCCCACCCAATGAGTCTTTTATTGCATGTTCTATTTATTTTGATTCATAAACATAAAAATGCTCTACTCCAAGATATGCCCTGTCTATCTATCTATCTATCTATCTATCTATCTATCTATCTATCTATCTATCTATCTATCTATCTATCTATCTATCTATCTATCTATCTATC